AAACCTTTATAATTAGGTGTGTATAGGTCTGTTAGACACACACATATACTTCCTAGCATTGCTAAGGAGGGACAAGATACAATGTGCTCATTCAGCAGTCAGATGTAGGTTTTCCTACCATTCTGAAAGGAATCATGCTCTTTGAAGAAATGTCTGATACTAGAACTGGGACAGTAAATATAGGAGTCAGGATAATCTTGAAGTATCAGAAAGTAAGTACTAAAAAAAAATTAAAATATATCAAAGAAAAATAAGAGCCAGTAAAAAAAGCTACTGACGGCCAACACAGAAATGAATTGTAGTGTTGAATAATAACTAAAACTTAAAGTAATTATCTAGGTGTCGGTTTTTGTATACACAGGTGAATAAGCAAATGGAGTTGCATAGAAATCTCCTTTGCAAAAGAATTCCAAATAATTGATGTAGACACTCAGCCATCAAGAAGGTGGAGCCAACTCCTCACTCCGTAAGTGTGGGCTCTGCACAGTGACTTGCTCCAAAAGAACACATGCAGTATGGGCAAGGAAGAAAAATAACTTCACAGTGGAGAAACCTGACAAACAGTAGCTCTGCCAAATGATCCAAGTGAACATCAAAGGTGACAGTTCACCTTGAGAACATGCAGTGACAGTGGGGGACATTCTACAAAATTCCTGACCAATCCTCCTCAATACTGTCAAGGTCATCATGACATGGAAAGCTGGACACGCTGTCAGACCCAGGAAGAGCCCACAGGGATGTGATAACTACATGTCATGTGGGATCCTGGATGGGATCCTGGGTCAGAGTAAGACAGAATTAAGGGAATCCAAATGAAATATGAACTTTAGTTAATGATAGTCTATCAGTATTGGTTCATTAACTATGACAAATTATGTAAGATATTAATAAGCCATGTGAGACACACTGATAGAAGATGTTAATAAGAGAGGAAACTAGGTTGTGGCTACATGGGGAATCTCTGCATTTTTGGGGGGGGCAATTCTGTGTAAGTAAAAAAAATGTTGTAAAATAAAACTTTATTTAAAACACTGTTATGTTTTTTGAACACTTCCTTGTTTATTTATACCATGAATTACTAGTAATTGACACTGTTAACTAGTCCTGTTTTTTAAATAAGAGCATTTATGATACAAAAAATTAAACAGTGCAGACTAATATATAAATCAAAACAAATGCTCTTTACATGTTTTCTGTTAGAGTAGTCACATATATGTGTAAACTTAATTATCATATTTTTTTTCTTGTGCTGTGGTTCTGTCCTGGGTTCATTCTCTAAAATGCTGTTCACCTTAGACCAGGAAAAAAAATAACCTTACAGACTCTGTTTCAATTCATGGCTAAATATTTTCAAAAGAGTGACTTTGTAAAAATATGTTCCAATGGAAAATTGATTCATTGTGATGGGATCACTTATTCCAAAGACTTCTTGTCTTTATTTTGTGCCCATGCCTACCTTTTAGCCATAATACAACAGAATCAAATATTAGCCACTGGGAAAAAATATTCAAAGAAAGAAAGAATGTGGAGAGAACTTATGACCATGATGATTCAATGTTTTACCACAATGCTTTCTAAAACAGAAGAGTGTAAAAGGATATTCAAAGTCAGTTTCCTCAGTGAGGCTTTGCAGAAAATGAGGAAACTAGAGAAACAAAAATGGCAGGATATTCTACAGGTGATTTTAGATGTTGCTATGTTTTATGGGAAAAAAATACCTTTAAAGAATCACAAAGAATTATTGGAAACCCAAACTCTGGAATGTTTGCAAATTTAGTTGAGCTTCTGTGTAATTATGTCTATATAGCTAGCCACGAAGTTGATGATTTTTTTAAAATCTTTGCCTTATTTGTGTAAAAAAATGCACAGTGAATAATTAATGCTCATAGGAAAACATGTTAGACCTTGTGAAGGGAAAATCAATCTTGGGGACCCAAAATCACTAAACTAAAGGGAAAAGTCAAGCTGGGAACTGCTGAGGGCAAATCTGCCTCCCATTCTATCCAAAGTCACCCGCCTGCTCACCGAGATAAATGCATATCTGATTGCCTCATTTGGAGAGAGTAATCAGCAATGCAAAAGGATGAAACCATTTGTCTCTTACCTACCTATGACCTGGAAGCCCCCTGTCTGGCCTTCTCAAATTTCTGGACTGAACCAATGTACATCTTACACATATTGATTGATGTCTCATGTCTCCCTAAAATGTACACAACCAAGCTGAGCCCCTGCCACCTTGGGCCCGTGTTGTCAGGACCTCCTGAGGATGCATCACAGGTGCACATCCTCAAGCTTGGCAAAATAAACTTTCTAAAAAATCTGAGAGCTGTCTCAGATTTTCAGGATTCACACATGTAATGTAGAATGTCAACGTTTATAAAGCAGACATTATTCTATCTACTGTTACAAATATGCTGCCAATTAACTTTAGACTTTCTCAACAAAATAAAATATGTTGATGAGGTACAAATAATATATTTAAACTTAATGTTGCAAGTTTTAATACGCCTACTTTTCAATTTTTCAATACTATTTTTACTACTTTAACATTGTAAGAAAAATGAGTAATTAAAATATGAATAAAAGTGTTTACAGCGGGGTGCACATGTTTCCTCCAGCCTCTGCCCATCCCCAGCTTTCATCCCAACTGTCCTGATAGTGGCTCTAAGCATTGCTCCTTTCTCTGTACCAAGATCTCTCCTCAGAAACAAACCCAAATCTTACCATATGTTCTGGTATGCTGTGATGATGAGCAGCGAAGAGCAGCAAAAGCCTCAAGGCAGGGAGGCTTTTGTAAAACAAGACTTGTAGAATGTAACATGTGAAAGTAAAGCCCATAGCAGAGCACCCTCTTCAGCACGCGGGGAGCAGACAGGAACCTTTTGCCTCACCTTCCTCAATGGCCTGCAGCCACATCTCCCCAGGTCAGTCTTAAGGACAACGAAACTCTGGTCTTCAAGGTGGACATGGTACTAGGTGCTCCAAAGCCATCGTGATCCACTCTCAGGTGGGTCCCGAGGAGAACAAAGCTCCGGTTCTAATCCTAACCCTAACCCTGTCCCAAGACTTTGACCCTGAACCTAAACCCTGATCCCCACCCTGGTCCCTAATTATGACCCTTACTTTGACCCTGACTTTGATCTTGACCCTGACCATGACCCCACCTCAAACCATACTTCTGGGCCTGACTCTGAGCATAATCCCTGTTATTATGTTTATGATCTATCTCTAGTCTTACCCTTTAGTGGTAAATAGCTGTACCCAAAAGCACTTTTAAATTATTTAACTTCTTTTCCTTGAATTCTCTAAGGACATCCTAAAGGAGATGTCATTATGTATTTTTCAGTCCCTATGAGTGGTATGGCTTCAGATAAGTTCTAATACTTTGCAAGACATAAAAGGTTTGGAAGGTGACAGCACTGGGTTGTTTGGGGTGCATGTTGGCATTCATGATAGTCATTGGTGCTGTTCTCCAAATATTTTCAGTTCACTTTTTATGAATGCATTCTGACTGTTCCATCCCACCTACTTAAGTTTTCACATGGCCACATGACTGTTTTGTTTTGTTTTGTTTTTTTCTTTGCCAATGGAGGTGAGAAGAAAACATGTCACTTTTTCAGAAGAAATTTCCAAGAAACAGAGTTCTGTTCCGCATGCTTTTTTCTCTTTTCTATAGCAATGGGGATCTTATTGATGGTCCCTCCTTCCGTCTGGATTCCTGTGTTAGGATGACACAGCATAGAGCTACCTCTCACCTGACCCATGATGAGATGTATATAAATGAGGAAGAAGATTTTTGAGCCACTGAAATTTGGAGGTTGTCACCACAGTTTAACCTAGCCCCCATTGACTGATGCAGGGCTGAAGAATAAGTCTGAACTGGATCCGGACAAGACATGTGAAGAGCACTCCAGGCTGAGTAAAATTCAAGTGTTGTCTCAAAGATAACAGTGAGCACGATATGTTATTGGGTGGGCATGGGATAAATAAGGTATATCAGGCAAGAATAATGAGAAACTCAACTTTAAAAGACGGTGCTGATTTGGACTGTGGAGAGATTCAAATGCCCCACTTAGCATTGAGATTGTGATGGTTGAATAAACTAATTAAGAGCCCTAAATGAAGACTTGGGATAAATATCTGAGAGTGTCTAATATCCCAATTTTTCATCCTAGAATGGACAGAGTCCTTGACCCCATTCTAGGGAGACTTCCCAAAGAAAAAAGACCTACATTTCTTCAACAACCCACATTGAGAGACTTTCCTGCACTTTTGACCTGTGGCTAACACTCCTCACCTTTCATTCTGTCATCAGTGTTTTGGGGAAACACCTTTAACTCTCTATGATTTACAGGTTATTAAGTGGCCCTTATAATTCCCTCCAGAGGTGGAAAGGACTAATGATGATGGTGTCCAAGCTCACAGCAGCAAGCAGGCATGTGTGCTCAGTAGCCATGTGGTTCATCTGCTAGGAGCTTACTAAATACGATATTCTACAACATTGCTTAACACAAATGGAGACGCTCCTGACTCGGGGTTTAATTGCTCACCTACTTCTTTTTCTGCCCTCTTGGGTTCCTAAAATGAAAAGAACCCTGGGGTGATCAAGTGAGTCAAAGAGGTGCCAGCCGCATCACAGCAAAATAGATTCCTAAAAAATCCCTGCCTAAGATGACAGCCTTGGCTGGATAAGTTTGAATGTGCTGATAGTGGACATCGTAGAGTGAAGATGGTTGAAGTGTTCATATTAAAGAACTTCCACCCAGACTGCAAGAAAAGAGAGAGGAATGGAGATGGCAGCATGAGTCCCTACAATAAAAGCAGATGTTTTGAGATCACTTATATTTGTTCTGACAAAAATTAAAGACAGCAACCAAAGTTTAGCCTGAAACTACAATTAATTGGGCAATAAGCCAGAGGCACATATGGCATAGACAGATTTAAACATTTCTCCTTTATATTAATACAAATACTAAAATTACAAATACATTGATTCCAAATAAAACAAACATTTTAAAAATTTAATGAATAAGAATAAACACTGGGGTCTACAGCAGTATTTGAAGGAGCTCTCACAAACAAGTTTGGTTTTTGAAGGTTAGAACTGATCATCTAGAGAATTCATTTCATTCCAGAGAGAGAAAGGAGGAATTTCTTGGGTTCCTTCAGGAATGCGTCTAGCTTTGCCTCATCTTTGAACTATGGATATGGCAGAAGAAAACATGATGATTTCACAGATTTAAGGTGCAAAAAGTCACTGGGTTCTGTAAGAAGTCTGGGATTCTTCTGCTGGAAAAATAAGTTTGTTGAGAAAAAATGAGTTGGAGGAGGTTGTTACTGAAGTGAAGCAGAACTGTTTTTACATAATCTGCTTATTACCCACTCTATAGTGTGGGAAACAAATTATTCATGCACAAGGTCCTCTTACTGTTCCTGGAATGCAGTGGAAAGAGAACAGATTAGTTTTTCTCCCTCAGAACACAACCACTAGAAACATCCCACCTCAGATGAGATATTGCCTAATTATTTTCAAAAGACAGTGAAAAATGATGGATGTAAATGTTTGCTACAAAATACATGCTAGAAACGGAAACATCTGGGTCACAGTTATATTAGAGCTACCTGTGCTCCCCTGTCACTGAGAGTAAAACAAAAATGTACAATAAAAATCCTTCACAGAGTGGGAGAGGGGAAGTTGAAGGATGGAAAGGCCAGTCATAAAAGGATCAGAATTTCAATCCATAAGGAAGTGCCTTTGTGCATTGTCTGTTGCTGTGTGCAAGGTGAAGTCTGGGGCAAGAAAACGTGCAGTAGCAAGGGCTTCTTTGTCCATCTCACCTCTCTAGATACCAACTTTCAGACATGTTGCATTGTAATTGAAAGGTTGACATAAGTTTTTTAAAAGAACACTTGCGGTGTTTGAAGTGACAAACGCTGCTGTGACAAAAAAGCAGGGAAAGGGAATTTTTTTTTTAAAAAAGCAAACAACAACAACAAAATCCCCACAAAAAAACAAACAACAAACAAAAAACAGAGGAGGAAGTCGGCTGCGACTACTTCCAGGAAGGGGCTACAAGAGGCAGTTGGAAATTCTATTTGCTTTGCAACTGTGGGTTTTCCGGTCTGCTTCCTTTCTGAAGTATATTACTTTATTTTTGGTTCATGAAGTTATCCTTTCTGTTTTCTGGAACAGCTATGTATTTTCTTTATCTATCATCTATCTACCTGCCAATCATCTATTTATCTATTTACTATCTATCTTTTCTACTTTTTGCTATCAAGAGCTTGAGTCAACCAGGATGAATTTCAGTGTATGTTCACTCTACCATTTAAAACAAGAACTCTCGTAGGCATTCTCCATCATATCACAAACCTGAGCTTTCTAAAACAGGGTGTGGCAAACTACCAAGCATGGACCATGTCTGACACAGTCTGCATTTGTAAGTAAAGTTGTAATGGGACACAGCCACATACATGTGTTATATGACGTCTCTGGCTACTTTCATGGTACAATGGAAGAGCTGAGACATTGAGAGAGAGAGACCATAAGGCTTGGAAAACTTAAAATATTTAACATTTAGCCCTTTGCAGAAAATATTTGCTGACTCTTGTTTTAAAAGATCTCTGTTTAGAATGCTACCTATTGCCTTCTGGGTAGAATCACAACTCTTTACCACAATCCACACAGCTTCAGCTCTGCTTCTATATCCAGCCTCATCTATTATTTCCGCTCCTCCCCCTTATTTTCTTTCTGGCCATGCTGATGGATTGTCAGCTTCCCAGATGTGTGAGAATCTCTCCTTCCTTCCCAACATTCTCATGCTCTCCCTCTACCTCTCAAGAACTTCCTGTCCCAACTCTCATGACAGATCTCTTCTTCATTCTTTAAGATGCAGCCCCTTTGCTCCTTCTTTAAGGATGCCTGTCTGGTTCTATTTTGGGTGACATGTTCCTTCTGCATCTCCCAGAGCCATCCTACATGTGTCAGCTACGACATTTTTTTGCATCTCTGTGTCATATATCACCAAATCAGCCTAAGCTTGCATGAGTCACTGCATGACAACTTCAGACTCCACCAGCATTGTCCCCACTAACCACGAGGCTTAGACATTTGTCCAGTATGCTCAGGGTTGTGGGGTGGTAGCAGTAACCAGCTGGTGAGCATCATTTCTTACGTCAGAATCAAATCTATAGATCTCTGCCATTCATACGTATTTGGAGTTTAAAATTAGCATAAAGATTTTCCTTAAAATAAGAACAAATGGCTTGAGTAGGCTTTTGGAATGTATGATATTTTCACTGGTTCATTTCTGTGTTAAGCATTCCCACATGAATCTAAACACCACTCTACTCTTAGTAGCTGTGTGAACCTGGGAAAGTCACTCAATCTCCCTCAGCTAAATTTTGTTGTGTGAGTAATGAGAAGAGAGTTGTGATTTGTATTTAGTGAATAACAACGAACAAAAGGCATTTAGCTTTCTGGAACCTGGTATGTAGTAGATCCTCATGAAATACTAGCTCTGTTGATAAAACTAGACCGAAAGAAGCTTTCAAAGTCAAGAACAGTATCATGCAGTGACGGACGTAGATGAGAAGCTGCTACTGCAGCCTGGAACTCCTAGGGGGCCCGTTTTGTCCATGATTTAGCAGGAATGCACTACCTTTCCATCAGGAGACACTGCCCACAGAAACCAAGGTCATTCTTTGAAGGCAAACATGTTTTAATAGCCTTTACATTATGTAATAGTGTAATATAATTTATTATTAACAATAATACAAAATTATTTACATTGTTATGTTACGACTTTTGTACAGACCTTTACACCCAGGTATTCTGAGGTTGGTGGTCTGTGAGTGGCATCGAGTGATGACTGACACACTCTGACCTGGGGTAGAACAACACGTGCTCCTGCAGTTTGCTGAATTTCAGGGCATCACCACCTTTTTTCAAGAGTGTGTTTTCCTATCTTCTACAGTTTTGCCCACTTAAGGAATGGTTTTGCTGTAATAAAGAATTACACTATTTATCAAAATATTACTTTGGAGAATACTGGTTCACGTAGTTCATTTTCAAGTTTTCTGAAACTATGAGGCCCATAGCTAATGCCAGTGGCTCCAAGGATGAGAAGGTAAAAAGGCCTTTTTTTTTTTTTTTTTGGCCAAGACAAAAAAACACCACATTTCAGACTTTACTGTCTCATGCTAGTCCCTGGAAAATTAAAAGTGAACATACTCCCCTCCCAGTCCAATCACAGTAATGAATAACCAAGATCTCCTGCAGATGCCTTTGCCTTGGCTCTGTGAGCCTGGAGTTGCTGACTGGCACTGGGCAGCAGGCAGCAGAGCTGGTCCCATTTCTCCACGTTTTCCCCACTCTGTGGGGGACACAGGCACATTGAACAACCTAGGTCCTGGCCTGGTGCTGGCTGGGAAGCTATTTGCTGTCAGGCTCATAGTGGACTTCTGAGTTGAAAAGAGAGTATGGGTCGCCCAGCCCATTTACTCATTTTACAAAGAATGAAAATGGGGATCTATTCCAGACATGAGAGTACACATTGTAAGGCTGTGCGAGCTCACTGCACTTGTATCCACTCAGCACACACTTACTGAGTGTCCAGCATGAGAGGGGCTCTAGTTCCTGGGGTCCCACCCTCCACAGAGGACAGCAGCACCTCGAGGGACAGAGGTGCAAAGAGCAAGGTGGGGGCCCTTCTGCTGGAGAGACGGCTAGGGAGGGTCCTTAGAAGAAGTGACAGCTGGGCTCTTCTCTGAAGGGTGAAGCTGAATTACTTGAAGCTTAGGGCGAAGGGGTGTCTGGGGAAGTGGAGCCTGTGAGCCAAAAGCACTAGCATAATGATTTGTTCAGAGAAGTATGACAAGTTCAATATTGTTTCTATGCCAAATGTGAACTGGAGTCACCAAAGAAAAGAGCAGGATCCTGGAGCCAGAGCCTTGGATTTCACCTGCTGGCAATGGGAATGTTCACTGGGAATTTGGGGGGACAAAACATGAAAGTGTTTCCCCTTAGCTCCAATTCTTTCTGTCCCTCTCTCACCCCCCCCTTTTTTTTAAAGGAGTCTCGCTCTGTCGCCCAGGATGGAGTGCAGTGACGCGATTCCAGCTCAATGCAAGCTCTGCCTCCAGGGTTCAAGCCATTCTCCCACCTCAGCCGCCCCAATAGCTAGGACTACAGGCGCCCGCCACCACACCCAGCTAATTTTTTGTAATTTTAGTAGGGACGGGGTTTCACCATGTTAGCCAGGACGGTCTCAATCTCCTGACCTTGTGATCCGCCCGCCTCGGCCTCCCAAAGTGCTGGGATTACAAGCATGAGCCTCCGCGCCCAGCCTCTCTCCTTTAATTTTTATATTACCATAAGAAGACACAGATGTCTCAGACATGGGGATTAGCAGCCTACCTCTTTCTGGATGACTTCAGGGGAGCACTTTGGCCTATGTGAGCTTATTTACAATAATTCACGAATCTTGGAAAAAAAAATTCATGGTAGCAGAGGTTAGAAAATCTCCTAGTATTTCTTCTGATACTTTGAATTTATGATTAATATGTTTAATCTTCATCTTCTGAAAAGTCACCAGTTGCACAGTGAGGATCATAAAGGGAGTCTGTTTCTGAGGTTTGTGTCTTCAACAGTCAGTGGTTTTGCAGCAACAGCATTGCATGTGGGTTTTAGGCTGATGTTGCTCAACAGTGAACAATTCTCTTCACCTGCCTGGGCCCCACTGCCCACCCTTCCATACACTGTGGAGTTACAGCTGAGCTCTCCGAGACACCTTGCAGGATCTCAGCTTCTGAACTGTCAAGTGTCTTCTAGGTGAAGGCTTAGTCTCATAGCCTTTGCGGCTTCCTCTAGGTAAGACTTGGCTTTTTGACCTAACCCTGGTATTTGTGTGACACACGTGTGAATGTGCTCCCTGTGGCAGCACTGAGGAAGGATTCAGTCACCACAGATGCCGAAAGGCAAAGGCAGTGTGCTGTTTTCAAACATCTCCAGTCATAAATTATTTTTACCCATCACCCCATTTGAAAAAGAAACAAAGAAAAAAAAAAGCCCCCTGGTTAGAATTAAATCCCCTCTGGAGATAATAGGTACTTGTAAAATCTTTCATTATTTTTATAGTCACATTTGCTCCCAGTGCCTGGCAGCATCCACCACAGGGCAGACACCCCTCTGTGTATTTGCGTGGTGCTTGCTGAGTGGTAATAAGAACAGTGCCTGCCAGCATCCACTAGAGGGCAGACATACCCGCGAGTATTTGTGTGGCTCTTCCTGAGTGGTAATAAGAACAGTGCCTGCCAGCATCCACTAGAGGGCAGGCACACCCCTGTGTATTTGTGTGGCTCTTCCTGAGTGGTAATAAGAACAGTGCCTGCCAGCATCCACTAGAGGGCAGACACACCCGTATATGGTGCTTGCTGAGTGGTAATAAAAACAGACACTCTGCCCTCCCGGAGCCAACCTCCAGTGCCCAGGCCAGCGGCAGCAAGTAAGAAAACCTCGGTTTTTGTATCTGCATCAGCTACACAGTGCTCGCACACAGGAGGCATCAGTTTTCTCAGTTACAGAAACAGAAACAAAAATGGGTCTTTACTACTTTTTGATTTTACCATGTTATCTAATTTTTTATGTTAATTGAATGAATAAACTTCCTACGCCTCTGGACACATGCATGGAAAATTCACAAACATTTCAAACCAAAACAGAGTATTTTGACAAAAGAGAATTTCTTTGATGTGAATTTCACTTTTTTCTATCTTTCAGTGGTTTTAATGTAGTGAAATTGAGAAGTCTGTGCCTCTAAAAGACTTTAGAGTGAGGTATTTCTCCATTTTGAAAAAAAAAAATTGGCAAAATATCTTCTACTGTAGACAGAAGTTAGTTGGCTGAGGGTAACAAATAGAAGACTAAAAAACGACTTTTATCCCCTACTATTCTGTCAAGGGCTACAGTGAATTACACATCCTGGCTTGGGTTTGCAACCCACGTGCTGGAAGCCAGCAGTCATGCAGGCCATGCTCTCCCACATGAAAAAGCCCATGAGAAAGAGCTCCATGGAGTTCACACAGAATGACCTCCAGCAAGACCTGGAAAATGCCCAGTTCCACAAAATACCTGTGTCCAAATACTTTCAGCGCACAGCTCTGGCATCAGGTTCCTGTGAGGACAGACCCTGAGATGGATTTCTGGATGGCGGCTGCTGCCGGAGGAGACAATGTCACTGCAGATGGCTCACACTGCTCCCACAGTGCAGGGGCCAATGACTTGGGGCTCCCGCCTGCCATCCCATTGGGGAACTGTGGAGATTCACCCCAGATGGGTGGACTCTGCTGTGTCCCCTGTCAAGAAACTGATACCGGCTTACCTTGGTTTTTCCTTTTTAAAACTCTCTGGTGTCTTCCTCTCTAGTGGGGGCTGCATCTCACCTTAGAAGAAAACACTTTCCAACTAGGAGCTGTCTTGGTAGCTGCTCCAGAGGAAGGTCTCCTCTCTCTGGAGTGAGGTCCGGCAAAGTAACTCCAGCCAGAACTCTCACTGCGTGGGGCTGGATCTGCCCTGTTCTTCTCCCATCCTCATGCTGACTGTGGAAATCCATCCATGCCCCATGCAAAGTCCTGAATCTTGGACTGTAAAATGGCAAAACTCAAATTTAAAATAGATGATTATATTGACTCTATGAGGAAAAGAAAGTTCTGAGGTAGACAACTGGTAAGCAAGCAATTATGTGTAACTTGTTAGAACACTAGGGTGTTTTTCAATTGTCTTACTGATTATTTAATGTTTAACAGGCTGGCTAAGAGCCAGAGGGAGAGAAAGCTGGCTGGGAACTGAGAGGCATGAGGTCAGCTCAGTCCCAACATTTCCATGTAAATGATGATGACAGGTGGGCTGGTGGCAAGATCAGAGCAGAACTGAAGAAGAGAGAGACACAAAAAACCCTTCAAAAAAAAAAAAAAAATCAATGAATCCAGGAGCTGGTTTTTTGAAAAGATCAACAAAATAGACCGCTAGCCAGACTAATAAAGAAGAAAAGAGAGAAGAATCAAATAGACGTGATAAAAAAAGATATAAGGGATATCATCATTGATCCCACAGAAATACAAACTATCATCAGAGAATACTATAAACATATCTATGCAAATAAACTAGAAAATCTAGAAGAAATAGGTAAATTCCTGGACACATACACCCTCCCAAGTCTAAATGAGGAAGAAGTCGAATCCCTGAATAAACCAATAGCAAGTTCTGAAATTGAGGCTGTAATTAATAGCCTACCAACCAAAAAAAGTCCAGAACCAGACGGATTCACAGCCGAATTCTAACTGAGGTACAAAGAGGAGCTGGTACCATTCCTTCTGTGAAACTGTTCCAAACAATAGAAAAACAGGGAATCCTCCCTAACTCATTTTATGAGGCCAGCATCATCCTGATACCAAAACCTGGCAAAGACACAGCAAAGAAAGAAAATTTCAGGCCAATATCCCTGATGAACATCGATGCAAAAATCCTCAACAAAATACTGGCAAACCGAGTCCAGCAGTACATCAAAAAGCCTATCCACCACGATCAAGTCGGCTTCATCCTTGGGATGCAAGACTGGTTCAACATATGCAGATCCACAAATGTAATCCATCACATAAACAGAACCAAAGACAAAAACCACATGATTATCTCAATAGATGCAGAAAAAGCCTTTGACAAAATTCAACAGCCCTACACGCTAAAAGCTCTCAATAAACTAGGTATCCATGAAATGTATCTCAAAATAGTAAGAGCTATTTATGACAAACTCATAGCCAATATCATACTGAATGGGCAAAAACTGGAAGCACTCCCTTTGAAAACCAGCACAAGACAAAGATGCCCTCTCTTACCACTCCTATTCAACACAGTATTGGAACTTCTGGCCAGGGTAATCAGGCAAGAGAAAGAAATACAGGGTATTCAAATAGGAAGAGAGGAAGTCAAATTGTCTCTGTTTGCAGATGACATGATTGTGTATTTAGAAAACCCCACTGTCTTGGCCAGGCACGGTGGCTCATGCCTGTAATCCCAGCACTTTGGGAGGCCAAGGCAGGTGGATCACAAGGTGAGGAGATCGAGACCATCCTGGCTAACATGGTGAAACCCCATCTCTACTAAAAATACAAAAAATTAGCTGGGCGTGGTGGCAGGCGCCTGTAATCTCAGCTACTCAGGAGGCTGAGGCAGGAGAATGGCGTGAACCTGGGAGGCAGAGCTTGCAGTGAGTTGAGAGCGTGCCACTGCACTGCACTCCAGCCTGGGCGACAGAGCAAGACCCCGTGTCAAAAAAAAAAAAAAAAAAGAAAAAAGAAAACCCCATCGTCTCAGCCCCAAATGTCCTTAAGCTGATAAACAACATCAGCAAAGTCTCAGGATATAAAAGCAATGTGCAAAAATCACAAGCATTCTTATACACCAATAACAGACAGAGAGCCAAATCATGAGTGAACTCCCATTCACAATTGCTACAAACAGAACAACATACCTAAGAATACAACTTACAAGGGATGTGAAGGACCTCTTCAAGGAGAACTACAAACCACTGCTCAAGGAAGGAAGAGAGGACACAAACAAATGGAAAAATATTCCATGCTCATGGATGGGAAGAATCAATATCATTAAAATGGTCATACTGCCCAAAGTAATTTATAGATTCAATGCTATCCACATCAAGCTAACACTGACTTTCTTCACAAAATTGCAGAAAACTACTTTAAATTTCATATGGAACCAAAAAGAGCACACATAGTCAAGACAATCCTGGGCAAAAAGAGCAAAGCTGGAGGCATCATGCTACCTGACTTCAAACTATACTACAAGGTTACAGTAACCAAAACAGCATGGTACTGGTACCAAAACAGATACATAGACCAATGGAACAGAACAGAGGCCTCAGAAACAACACCCACATCTACAACCATCTGATTTCTGACAAACCTGACAAAAACAAGCAATGGTGAAAAGATTCCCTATTTAATAAATAGAGTTGGGTTAAACTGGCTAGCCATACGCAGAAAACTGAAACTGGACCCCTTCCTTACACCTTATACAAAA